GGGTTGAAAAACCTCTCATTCATTCCTCCGGACTTCAACCCTCTTATTAAAAGAAATAAGGAGTTAAGAAAGAAGGGAAGTCCCTGTATCTTTATGTACAAGCACTGTAACTTCCTTTCTGCTTTCGGATGAAATGAAAAGAAGCACATGGGTACATACACACTTAGAGACGCGACGTCTCACGCTACTTATTACCTAATAGGAAATTTGCCTAAACGGAAATTGTTTTGCTGAATTCGTTTGTGTATAGTCATACGAAGAAATCGTAAATTTAGCTTTCGGACAAGACCATGATGATAATGGTGATGATCGGACGTCTACATCGTCTAGCTGTGGTAAGAGCCATCTTGATTATATTAAGACCAGAAAAAACTGGATACTATAACTAGCAGATTGATATCATTCATATAAAAAAACAAGAGAAAACGCTAGTGTCGAGTGCCTCGACTATCGTGTACCCGTTACCCGTTTGACATACATGAATGTGCCTCTGACTAACTAGCCCTTACTGACTAAATCTGGCGCTCTCTTTCAGACTAGAACAGGAATCGAGAAGCATCCACCAAAAATAACGAAAAACAAGAGAGAACGTGTTTGTCGATGGCCCGACTATCCGAGTAGATGGATATTGGTAATCAAAGCAAAGACCGACTTTTACAAAATCTTCCAAAATGTGGGCGCACCCTCTAGATCTAGTCCCAACTTTCTGGCCATTATAGTTTCCGAGATCTCAACGTTCATAGGGACATGGCTAGTGAAACGCTTCGACGAATCTAATACACCCTTTTACTCTACAAGTAACGGGTAAAACAAATTGATATTATCAGACTTTATTATGATAACAATTGATATTAATTTATTTCATGCAATTCATTTGAACTTCCACAAATATTGGCCCCCATGTTTTGACTTTATTAGGTAGATTTATTCAGGAACATATAGAGCCAATGCCAATAGAGTGTACGATTACTATTAATTCGAATGTATTTCAATTCGTCGTCACAAAACTTGATAACTTAAATCGAAGAAGGTGTGATCAGAGCGACTTCCTACCTAGTTAAGAGAAGCTTTTATTCGGGACTATTGTTGTTTACAAATAACAGCGCAAATGCAGTGCTATTGCACGCCAGATTTCAGCTGGACGACCCATGAATTCAGAATTCTCGGAGAAGCCAGTACATTTTCTACTGGGTGTCCATATATATCTGCACAGCAACCACATTTTCGCGTACAGAACGAGGTGTATGAGATAATGGTTTGGTGCTTACACACAGGCATCTGCGCACATATACATACCCGTTGCACACACACGCCGCCTCCATTTTTGTTACCGCCAAATGCCATAGCTACATTTTTTGCTGAATATTTCCGAGCAACTTTCTTCAGTTCCTCCCCCAGCGGAGGATTTTTTCGTCCTTTCCTTTTGTTTTCTCTGTTTCTCTATTCCTTCTTGCGAGTATGTACACGGAGATGGAGGTTGTGCTGCAGAGACCGAGTTCGCTGGCTGTGATGTTTTTTAACGAAACACAACCCACTCAAGTGGCGGCTCAAGTTTTAAAATGCCGAAAGGAAGACGGGCGCTACAACTGCGGTGGGAGGGGTTGGTCGGGGTGCGCTGGCAAGGGCTGAGATGGGGTGGTTAGGCGAGAGAAAGGAGTCGGGTCTGGAGAGTGGGGAGTGTGGAGTGGGGAGTGGGGAGTGGGGAGTGCGCACTCGGGCTGCTGACTGGGGTTCGGGGTGCAAAGACGTTGCTAGCCGTAGCCGCTGCAAAGCCATACCCCCATGGCCCATGGCCCATACCCCGTACCCCAAACCCGAACCCGGGCCCCGTCGCTTTATATTTGTGCTGAGCGAAAGGGAGCAACTTATTGCGAGACTGAAACCGGGAATAAAGGCGCAAGTACACACGAAGCATGCTACAAAAAAGGCAAAAGCACCAGCCTTGGGGATAAGATAAAGGATAATTTTCTATATAGCTGCGTGGGCTTATATGGACATACACAGCTACCTACATACTTACATAATTTTGTACTTTCGACTTTGCGTAGCGGAGCAAGACGTTTGTGGAAACGTGTGTACATATGAGTGTATGCTCTTTAATTAAATACACAAACGAATTCTGAAGGCCCTGCAAGGCGATAATAAAATATTATTGTCCAACAGTAATGAACTACAATTTTTTATAACATTTAACGCGGTGAAGTCAGCCATTCTAAGTTTAAGCACGATTTTACGTGATTTCGAATAATGAATGTTGTGTCACTACTTTAAGCAAGAACAAATCATTATTGTAGCCAAAAATAACACAAATTATGCTTGATAGGAAAAATCTTACTAAAATAATAGAAAACTGCTTTGGACTTACACAATTTTTTCTACCAGTGTATGATGGATTTTAAATAAGTTTCGAGTTAAACCGAGATATCTTTACTAAAACCGCAATGGGCAATCCTGTTCTGAAGAATCGACGGAATGGTATCCTTAAACAATGATGGCACCCTTTTTGCCTTTTAAAACCAAAAAAATACACCTCTGCTCCTTTCATTTATAATATCAAAATGGAACCGCAAAATCTTCAGCCTATATATTTGAATGCAACCTCCTGGGTTACACGAAAATAGAAAGCATGGTTGTCATTATTATGATTCGGATTGGGATTTTTGGATGATCTTTGTCCATATGTATTTATACCCGATATTCGTAGAGTAAAAGATTATACTAGACTTGTCGGAAAGTATATAACAGGTAGAGGAAAACGTGGTGCTTTTGTGAGGTGTGCAATATCGTACTCCCTTAAGCTGAGTAAGTGGTATCAGATAGTCGAGGCCGTCGACTACAACGTTTCCTCTTCTAAAAATCGGAAAGCTCTGTATATACATTTCTCCCATAGGAACGACTTGCATGGGTATGTAAACTGTGGCTTGTCGAAGTAAGATTCTTTCATGATTAAACTCTTGTTTGTGAAGAGTTGGCATTAAAAAATAACTCAGTGTCCTTTTATTTATTATTTCAAATGTAATAAGGAATGAAAGGAACTTTTCCCTTCACTAAATCACTAATATTTTTGCACTTAGCGCTCTGCGGTTTCTGTGACACCCCCGAGAGTGACTGTTTGATCCATTTAGCGCTAAAATCCGTCTAGCACCCACATTTTTGATATTTTTTAAATGAAATTTATTTTGATTGTCAATGTCGAACTACGTTGTTCTATTGGGGCTATTCATTTAAAAGTTATAAGCATATAAAGTGTGCAATCTTGGAAACAAGCGCTTTGCTGCGTGTATATCTCTATCTCCCTCGCACTCTTTAAGTGCTGCCCGGTCACTTAGCTGAGTAAGGGGTATCTGAGTAACGAGTCGGTGGCATGGACTATAGAACTCTATTTTGTTTTTATTTCAATAACTAGATAAGAACTGGTTAAAATCACTACGTAGGCGACTTTACATAGCCGCCGAACTGAAAATCTGCTGTGGGATAGTAACGTGTGATGCACCAATCGAGAGGTACTGCAAAAACTAGGAACGTTGCAAGACATTAGAATATAGCTTTGTATGCAGCTTAAATATTTTGATGAAGCGGGCAGAATGAAATCATTTTAAAAAGTGTATTTATTTAGTCGGATGTAAAATCATTTTTTTCACAAAATTTTATATCAGAACTTTTGTATCGTCACGATCCCTTACCTCGTTGAAAGGTGTTTTTGTTTGATAATTTATTAGAGCTTAAATACAATTCAAATTTTTGTAACAGTTTAGTGCGCCTAATAATAAACTGCTCCAGAACCAGAGCTTCTAAAAATAAACCCGTTACTCAACTCACAAAAAGCGCCACCTACCGTTCATTCCTATCGGCTTTTTACAAGATTTGACTAACACGCCACATAACCTGAAAATTAGGTGGGGCTAGTAAAATTTCGTTAGCTGCCGATTTTCTGTATGAATATATCTCTATCCCTCACGCACCCTATTGATTTTGCTAATTTTTAATTATTGTTTGGGAATAAAAGTCCTATTTGAACATATTATGGCCTGTAGATGGGTAGAGAGAACAAGAAGAAAACGTAAATTTATTTACATTTCTACAATTTATTATTAAAATGTGGACGCTGGACGGCTTTTAGCGTTGTGGGCGATTCTGGGCCTTATAGTGGGCGTGGCACCCTGCAAAAATACTGTCAATGCGTTTGGTCATAGAAATGGTGGACTCGAGAAGAAACTTTCTGGTTTCAGGCACAAGCAATTTAATTTTCGATCTGATCTGAATTTGATCTGAATCCCACATAAATTCCGTTTATTTCTTAAGGGGGCTCTTGTATCGGCTTAATAAACAGAAACTTAAGAATTAAATAATTAAAAATATTAGAAGTGCCCCGTTCCAATTCGCTTCGAATCGCTTAAATTCGCCTCAGGCTCTAAACAGAAATTAATTGTTGCATACTTTCCAGGGCGACGAGATCCTAATAGCACCCCAAAAATAGGCTGCGCTCTGCGGAGTTCACTTAACGCAGCGTTTTGTCTAAATTTTTGACGCATACTTTACGGCGACTGTACCATTCCAAGTTTCCCCCACCACAGCTCCGGCGATGGCGATTGCCAGGCGGGAAGGGGGTATAAGTATTGTCTAAGAAAGCAAATGAAAACCAACGAAAAATAACATGAAAGCAAGCCGTAATTGAGAAAAGGGGTTAGGAGGCACGGCTGCGAAAAAAACGTGGGCCGCAAGAAAAACGCACGAGAAGGAAAGTCGGAAAAGTGGCTGGGCGGAGGCGGAGCTACGTTTCAGATATCAAGCCAATCCCCGACTGCCTTCCGCCTCTGCGCGAGTTTTAATTTTACAGAGCCAAAAGTTGGAACTTATTTTTATTTTAAGCAGAACACCACCCTAATCCCCCCCCCCCCCCCCCCCCCTCCTTCTGCCACCCATTTGCCCCACGACAACGAAAAATCAGACGAGCTTTTCCATTATAAAGACGCAATCGTGGCACTAGAAGGCATAAAATGTTTTCGCTTTTTCCTCACATAAGTACTGTACTTATGCTTCATCATTTTATTTGAAACTACCGGTGCCTCAGAATTCACTTCAGCGCTGGGACGCGTGAAGTTTATACCGCTGCATATCGCCCTGCGATTTCTGTGGCACCTCCGAATGCTTAAATAAATATTATATTTAGTAAGATTTTTTATTTCGATAATTTTTTATTCGCTTACTTTATTTGAATTCGCTTAGTTTGCTTGGATTCGCTTAGTAATTAAAGCTTGGCGAAAAGCTTCTTCTTCACCAGAAAAAGCTCAGCTGAAAGCTTAAAAACATTTTTTCGTCCATTTTTTCCCGTGTGCTTCGCTACGTGTTACGTAGTGGCCCTGACGTTACGTTAGAAAATATTAGGATTGAAAACATAATTTATTCAATTTTATAACATTAAGCTGACCTTTCAATATATTTTTGTAAGACGGCATTTGAAAGCTAAATCCATCTTAAACTTTTTTAGCGATAACCTGATACTCAAGCAACCAACTACAAAATAAGTATACTTCTTACATTTTATCAACTTTACATTTTTACATTTTACAATTTTCACTTCTATCTACTGGCTGTGACGTCACTGACGATGTTCTCGCTAGATTCCGAGATATCAGGCTAGATAGACATAGACTCGTCAGGTGATGCTCATCAAAAATACATATGCTGTATGGGGTCGGAAACATGTCCTTCCCTGCGTTGCAAACTTCTGACTGAAACCGTTTTACCCTCTGTATGGGTATAATAATGGAAAAAACATTGTACATTGTACATATATTCGTGAACAGGATCACTAGCCGAGTCCGTCCGTATGAACGCTGAGATCTCGGAAACTGTAAGAGCTAGAATGCTGGGATTAAGCATGCAGCGAAAGTTTGCTTCAGCAGGATGCCACGCCCACTCCAACGCCCACAATTGCCCATAAAGGCAAACCTCGTCTAGCTGCTTTATTTTTAAGTATTTTATACAAAAATTATTCAAATCAGACCATTCGTTAAAATGTTGTTATTATTATTTTTGAACGTTGGTGCACTAAGAGCAGTAAATTGGTATACCAACGACACCAAGTAATGCTTGTTACCCGCGGAGCCCTATTCCCTTTTGGGCGTATGAACGAAATCGCTGATATAAAAAAGACAATATAACAATAGATTGGACAAAATACGAATAGTAAAGATACAAATAACAATACTAATTAGTTGCTAAATGGGATAATATTATTAATTTTAGTGGCAGTGGGTCTGCAGCTGAAACTAGGTGATATAGTCTATTATAACCATTAAAAAGTTCTGATAAAGGTTTAAAACTACACTCATAAAAAAATCAAGTATTTCGTGCTTGATTCAAGTATTTTCGGCGTCAAAGCTTCGCCAAGCATGGAAAATACAGAACCCGAAAACAAAATGCAACTTTTAAGCACGAATTTTCAAGACCCAAACTACTAGGTTTAAGAACCTTGCGGTCTACAGTCAAGTATAAATAATTTTTAAATCTAGTCATATTTGTACTAACAACAAGAACGATTTAATACTAAAGTAAGAAAGTTACAGGCATGATTTAGGGACGAAAAGTTTTCAAATCAATATACAATTATTGTAAATATAAATTGGTTTTTAGTTATACGCTGATTGTTCTTGATTTTAGCACGATGTTTTTCCGTGAGTGTAGTTGAAAATAGTTTCAATTGAATCTATTTTGCACCTTAAAGTGTGGGCGACAGAGTAAATCGGGACTCTCCACTTTACCATGAATAAGATTCAGAATGATCGTGGTACCTAGCATAGTTCTACGGTTGGCTAATGAGGCTTTACTGAAATCAATGTAAGCCTTCAGTCAGGCTTAAACATTTTTTGAAGCCATTTGTCACAAATGAAGTAGAATTGAAAAGGTCAGTTGCCGTTGACCTGTGTTCTACGTTCTGGTATGATAGTCGATCGAAACAAGTAGTACACCGATCAACTGGTGTTATTATTCTCTTTGATTTTTGATACTAAAACTTTTTAGAAGTTAATAGGTTCAGACAAATTACGATGAAAGTGAATAAATTGAATATTAGAGATGGTGAGATCTGTGAAGACAAATAAGTTTCAGTTACTCGTTACTTGTAGAGTAAAAGAGTATAGTGTATGCGTTTAAAAGAATGTAACAGGTAGAAGGTAGCCCCTGCAAGGGTATAATAATGGAAAACGAATCGTTTTTCCATTACAGGTAGTATATAAGTCGGAACGAGCCGGATCGGACAACTACATCCTATAGCTCCCATTGGAATGATACAAAAAATATTTTATTTTAAGATGTAAAAAAATATAATAATTTCGCTGTTTTAGGACATATAAACTTTCACTGTTATGAATATATTTCTTTTAATATTTTAGAATTTGGAAAAAGAATTTTTAACAAATCGGACGACATATAGCTACCATAGGAACGATCGGATAAATAATGTCAAAATACGGTAAATAACATTGCATTATCTTTATATTTCTGTAATTAGTTTTAGTTCTTCAAAAATCTGAAAGCTCTGTACATACAATGCTCCCACGCGAACGATCTTTCTTGTTTAATTGTATCTTCTGTGTTTTCTTACACATTATCTGCTACTCCTGGGAAAACCCTTTTTATACCGTTACTCGTAGAGTAAAAGGGTATAATAGATTCGTCGGCAAGTATGTAACAGGCAGAAGGAAGCGGTTCCGACCCCACAAGGTATATATATTCTTGATCAGTAGAGTGCCACGCCCACTCTAACGCCCACAAACCGCCCAAAACTGTGGCTCCTACAGTTTTGATGCTAGAATAAAAATTTTAACTGAAATGTAATGTTCTCATCAATACCTATCGATTGACCCAAAAAAAGTTTGCCACGCCCACCCTAACGCCCATAAACCGCCCACAAACTTCAAAAAATCGTAAATATGAACGTGGATATCTCGGAAACTATTAAAGATAGAGAATTGGAATTTCAGATTTAGATTCCGTAGCCTTATACGCAGCACAAGTTTGTCACGCGAATATGCCACGCCCACTCTAACGCCCACAAACCGCGAAAACCTGTGACGCCCACAATTTTTATGCTAGATAAAAAATTTTAACTGAAATGTATTGGTCTCGTCAATACCTATCGATTGGTCCAAAAAAAAATTGCCACGCCCACTCTAACGCCCATAACGCTTAAATCTGTATACCGCCGGTAGGTGGCGCATTTTAGTCTCGCTTTGCTACTTGCATATCTCTATTTAGCTGAGTAACGGGTATCTGATAGTCGAGGTACTCGACTATAGCGTTCTTCCTTGTTTTTGATCATATTTTGTTCTACCCCGGTATATAGGAAGCGTTTTCGACCTCATAAAGTTCAGTACCCATAACGCTAGAGTCTAAAAGTGTAAATAGGATTTTGCTTTGATTATCAATTTTCAGCTACATACCAAACATTGCTTAAATTGAACCACCTATAAAAAAGTTTTCAAGCAAAAACACCTCCTTTAGAGGTAAAAAAAACTAACAAAAAGCGCCACCCATCGTTCATTCACATCGGCTGTTCACGAGATTTCACTAACGCCACATAATGTGAAACCCTTTTAAATGAATAATCTGATTTGAATCAACTTTAATAAAAAATGTTGGCGCTAGACGTTATTATGTTAAATACATCAAAATAAATAAATTGTTTGTTGACGCTTGGTATAGTTTTGGAGATCTCAGCGTTCATACGGGCAGACGAACAGACGGACGGATGGACAAACGGATCAAGAATATATGTACTTTATGGGGTCGGAAACGCTTCCTTTTACCTGTTACAGACTTTCCGACGACTCTAGAATACCCTTTTACTCTACGAGTATCGGGTATAACTAGGCACGATCGAACCTTCAACATACAAAAGTTCTAGGATCAACTTTTGTGTCGAAAATGTATTATACGATCTAACACAATATGCCTGTGTAGGCAAGAAACTGTACGAAACCCGACCCGAACACGTACTTTCAGTAGGAACACAACTAGGCTAATAGACTGGATATATATGAAATAAAAGAGATATATCTAAATTACAAAAATTATATATTTACATACGACTTACAATTTTTTTTTTTGAGCCTTTTTGGTTTATATACCAGTTACTCGTAGAGTAAAAGGGTACATATTAGATTCGTCGGAAAGTATGTTACAGGTAGAAGGAAGCGTTTATAAAGTATATATATTCTTGATCAGGATCACTAACCGTAGTGACAATTTTTTCTTTCGTTGGATACCTCGATTATTTAAATATTTCCCACCGCTACTTAGAGTTCAAGTTAAAAGTACGCTCTGTATACTTTTAGCTGTAAGCCAGTATATGTACATAAGACGGAGACATTATTTTACTTCCGACCGCCTCCTGTTTTTTCCGCGAGAACAAAGTCTTAAGAAACTTTAACCAATACCGAACCAGGGGTTGGGTTTAGGTTTTCTTCCCAAAAGTGGCATCGCCTCCATCCTACTGCTCCAACTATGCGATTCCCAGACTATTCTCCTTCTTTTTCTTCTGAGTAAGCATGGCCGGAAGTTTCGAGCTGCGCTGCTTAGCATAATGAGGGTGTTTTTGTATGTATAAGCACTGGCACACACTCAGAATTTTATGTGGAGACCTATGTAAGTACATGGCTTGAGGAACCTTAGGTGTACATGGCCGGATTTAGTATACATTTTACTTATTTGTATATACAAACACACATGTGCGTTGAGTGCTCCCAAACGTGTGCCAAACTTTCTTCGACCCTAAATTTAGCGGCTAAGTTGCGTCGACGACAAAGGTCCTTTTCAGCAATGTATTTGCGGCTCTGCGTAATCAGTTGTCTATGTATGCGTCAAAATTCTTAAAATCTTTCCGCCATTACAATTTTAATTTTACGATTTCGGGCTAATGCTTGGAAGGAAAACTCACCCCTATCCCAGAACCCGCCCCACCCTACCAAGCCGTTCCTTCCTTCAACGGCGTGCGCGACAAGCAGCGAGACCACGCCCCTTGAACAGCCAGCGAGAATTTTCGTTGGCGCTGAGAAAAATTGCTCTCAGCCTTAACAGTACATAGTGTGGATACGCCTTTTCTTAAAAACAGAAAGGTATGGATATATTTAAAGGTGGTTTTTATGTTTATGAATCTTGGGTATGGTATAGGGTTTCCTTCTTGAAGTTGTTGGGTAATATTATTTAATATTCATCCCCGGGAAAATTTCGAAGGGGTCTTAA